CTACACAACACCCCCCCCCACCCCCCCACCCCCAGCATCCTTCCGTCGCCCTCTTGAAGTTCGTTATCCATGAACTGGCTTGCCAAATAATCTCTGGTTCACCTCTGCTGTTAAAGAGACATGCCTCCGCTAGTTTCAGAAACATGCCATCGCGTCGATCTATTGTTCAAAACACTTTAGGTCATCATCCAGTACAGCTGCCCTAAGTCAAGTAAAAATGGCTGAAATTCTCTGTCAAATTCCAGATTGAATTAAAAAGCTTAATTTGTCATGAGTGCCCTGCTGGAAAGCAGCAGTGTGTATAAAGTATAGTTCACATCAAAATGCCCATTAAACAAATCATAAAGTCTACTTTGCGCTGATCTTAAATTTTGTTTTGAGAGATGCGGGGCCCTGTTGTCTAGAGCCATATGGGAAATTCGGGAAATTATTTTCAGGTCCAGAGCATGAAATTAAGGACACGTGTTAAGCCTTTTGGCTGCGTATCATTTTCATTGTGCGGTTTTCTGAGTTGCCTTTTCGGGGTTCTTTACTCTGTGCAGAATGCGCCAAGCTTGGCAATTAAACTCTCTAAAGAGGAAATGTGTATTTAACCCGAAACACATGGTGACTCCTGTTTCCTCAGCTGCTAAGTAAACATTTATATATATCTATATATTTTCAAAGCCACACAAATAAAGTATATTCTGTTATGAGCACAGTGGGCCTGTTTCTCTGTAGCAGTCACTCAAACTGTAGATATGTTTGTGCTCGTAGTTTAATATGGTCTTTCTCATTTTAGTAGATTGCTGCATACTTTGTATTTCTTCAGTGCTCACCTGATTAAATTTCCTCATGCTCACCTGAAGCTATTATTCAAATGGTGATTGATAAAGTCTTCGACTGATAAAGGAAGTCAGTTGGAACTTCTAAAGAAGTGCAATTTTTTTGCATTGTCTTTGTACCAATCAAAATACTCAAGTGCTTTATCAGGTGCTGTTAATTATTATTATACTTTTGTTTTGCATCCAAAATAAAAGTTTGTGTTTACATAATATATGTGTATGTACTGTGTATATTTACGTATATGTATATATAAACACACACGCATACATGTACAGTATCTCACAGAAGTGAGTACACCCCTCAGATTTTTGTAAATATTTTATTATATCTTTTCATGTGACAACACTGAAGAAATGACACTTTGCTACAATGTAAAGTAGTGAGTGTACAGCTTGTATAACTGTAAATTTGCTGTCCCCTCAAAATAACTCAACATGCAGCCATTAATGTCTAAACCGCTGGCCACAAAAGTGAGCGGGGGTCTGAATACTTTCCGTACCCACTGTATATATATATATATATACATAGACACACACATAATATTACATATATATAATTTTAAATGGATATTTCACCCATAAATTTTAATTGTCTTTTACTCACCCGTCAAGTGGTTCTACCTGTATAAATTCTTCTGCAGAACACAAAGGTATTTTGAAGAATGTATCAATTCTTTTTTATCCGTACAGTGTGAGTACTTTCTTTTTTTTTTGTGATATGAGACTTAAATATGACATTATTTTGAGATTGTCAGTGAATGTTTATTTGACTTTTTTTTTTTTTTTTCCAAAATTTGCCCACAGCTTTGTCAGACCATTTCTGTTTTGAATTTTGAATTTGGTGTACTTTGAGTGTGCTTATGTATATATTTATTTATTTTATTCTTATTTTTTCAATTTCAGCCAGATTGTCTACCACTCATTTGCCATCACTGCAATGTATTGTATCAGTTGATTTAAATTTAAGAGTTCTTATTTTTTTAGCCAAAGCATTTTGTTCTCCTTGATAATATTTAATACTGAATAACAGGCAGAATGTTGCATCTCATTCTCCACATATATAAAGCATTATCATCTTGACTGGTTGAGTTTAATTGCTGTGCCGTTTGAATATAACGATAGCTGTCTTTATTAGTGGCTGCTCGTGGAAGATTAGGAGCGCTTCGATTCCCCCCCCCCCTTCCACCGCAGAACGCCCTGCCACTGGGAAAGTGAATAAACAGGCTCAAATAAATAAATTGTGTTTTCACCAGAAAACACTCCCTTGGGATTTATTTTCAAGCTGATTCCAACATAAATATACATGCATTAAGCGGTGAAAAGAGCATCAGAGAGCGAAGCAGTGAATTAATTTGCATTCAGACGTTTCTTAACTTACTTGTTAAGATATTATTATCCGTTGTTAATGTTCTGCAGACATTTGCTTTAATGTATTCCATGTCTGACTGCTGTTTCTGTGTAAGTACGTGCATATACCTCTCTTGTACGGTACGCTCCACCTCCTTAAATAATTACCCAGACTGTAGCAAAGCTTTGTTCACACTTAAGAGGGTGACGGACCCCGATCACACTGCACTGACCCCTCTGACTGGATGGCTGCTCACACAGTTAAAGACATGCAGAGAAAGGCCTTTAGCAGCAATTAAACGGTCATCACTAAATGTGTGCGCGCGCGTTTGGCTCTCGCAATGAAGAATTGCAACGGCGGAACTTTAAACACCGCCGGCTGAGAGGTGCTTTGTAGCCTCTGTTAAAATATTATTTAGATTTTATGTCCGAGAAGTGTAAGCTAAGCCTCCGAAGCAATTAATTTTTTTTTCCCCCATTACAAAGGTAAAATGAGCAAAGAGGTACATTCCAGCCTTATTATACGGGGTGCCGTGGGGAGTGCGGGATTAAGATGGCCATAATGAGGTGAGGCCTGTAATAAGAGTGTCTTCACCAGGCCTAATGCGCTTGGCTCAGATCAGATGTGGCCTCTTTGAAAACAGCGTACTTATCTGAGGGCTTTAGGAGCAGAAAGGAGACAAAACCGCCGTCCCTCCCCAGCCCTCGCTGTAAATGAGTCTGATCCTTTTCAGATGTGATTCAATTAATTTACTTTAGATTTAATTACATGTGGAAGAGTCCGAGTTATCCCTCTCCTCTCGATAGGGGTCTCTGCTTTCTAACTAGCCGCCCCCGGTGACTCCGATGTTCTTAATTACACTTTTATTTTCCTTTTCCCCCCAGCCCTTTTTTCACTTCCTCTTCCTGCTCTCGTATCTCCCCCCCCCTCCCTCATCCTGGCAAATCCCTCCCTCCTCAGCGGACAGAAGAACTGGAATGGGATTATGGGGTAGATGTGGGCTGTTTGTTTGTGGATGGTTCAAAGAGTCATTGGCTCCGTGTAGCCATACAGGAGCGGCTTGAGAGCCCGGGTTAATCTTCCAGAACGTTTGGAGAACTGAAATTAAAATGTAGAGGCGCTTCAAATCTTTTTTTTTTTTGCGTGAAGAGGGTATCTTTTTATAAATTGACATTACCAACCACCTGTCTATTTGGGGGAGGGAAAATGATGGATGGATTTTTTGGGGGGGCTTTTTTTTCCCTTGAAGTCATTTGCTATTCAAATGTTTGCTGGCCACTTCAATTGGCCATCACTCCCTTCAGCAATTCATCCCATGGCAAGCAGTTGGCGATAAGGCTTCTTTTAATAAAAACCTCCCTGACTTGATGAATACTGCCATTGTTGTGCCAGAGACCTCTTATCAAACACCTCTGTCCTGCTCAAATCAGCAGTCTGCAATATGGAAAAATATGTAAAAATGGTATGATTAATTCCCTTAGCCTTTTTTTGAAAGATCCTGACCTTCTGGGTGAGGAAAATACAGTAGCTGGGACTCGTCAGTGTAGTTGTGGCTTGATATCGAGACTTTCGTTGTCTCGTATTGGCAGTTTGAATGCATCAAATTATTGTGCTCATTGAGTGACAAATCAAATTAGAAAAAGTCACACTTTAACAGATCGCTGACATTTGTGAAGTTTTTTGCATATGCTGCATACTAATATAACAGGTTCTGGTAAACAAGGCCTGATATGATAGAGCTTTCACATTCTGGGGCAGATATTCACCTTTAACAACAGTAGAGAATATATAACTTTGTTTAAAGCCCATGTAAAGGTCAGTTTAGCAGCATTTTAAAAGATAACCATGATTATGTTTACAGAGGTCTCAGAATGATCCTTGGTTAATGGTTTGAGGTGTGGAAAGCCTATAGTGGTAAATAATGAGTGTTTTAAATTTGTTTTCAAAACCAAAATGATGGTGATGATCATTTGTAATTTTGTCTCTTCTTCAGGCCTCATCTGCCACCAACTGCATGCTGGAGTCTCAGAGCATCAGTGAACTCAAGGCTGAGATTGTATCTCTTAAGGGTCTTCTTCTCAGCAGGTAACATTTCACTTTTTTAATAAATATCTAACAATAGATGCCATATTTGATTTGACGGACAAAATGTGACTATGATGGATTTAGAATCTTGTGTATTTGGGTGTCAATCTGTCAGCTCGCTAAACATTAAAATTGGTTTTCCACAAATTGCAAAAAAAAAAAAAAGCAAAAATTTAATGTGACCTTGGACCTATTTTCTGATACAGAACAGTATGACATATTGAACAAACTGTATTTTCCTCCCGCACAGCCTCGTTTTTGTTTGTGTACAATAAAGTCTTGACATCCAAAAGCCATTTCCTGCCATTAAGAATTTCTTTATTTTACAGTGTGATCAGATTTGTGCTTGAAAACTAATAAGATGCATGTACTTAACATTTGATATCCTGAAAGAGACCATCAGTAGATGTTCCAACATGCATGTTTTGTAATATCACTGTGTAAATAAATGAGTGGAGAGCATTGTTTCTCACTCAGGGCAGCTGATATTAGTATGCCTTGGGACAATTTGGCAGATAAATGTGTCTGAAATGGTTTGATCTGTATGTGTCATATCGTTCTCTTCACCGGGGCATGTAGCTGGAACCAGCTCATTACTGGTTAATGAGGCCTGATGCATCCAACAGGTTCCCTCAATGCCCCAAGATGGATCTTCCCTCACTTTCATTAATGTTTACTTGATTATGTATGTATCATGCAAATTAAGATCTAAGTAATCTCATACATCTGAAATTCACACAGATAAAAGCTTTCGTTTGTCTGCCGTTTCGTTCTCATTAAACATTTTAAGCTGTAATTACCTTTTTCTTCCAGTGTCTGAATGTTGTGTCTGGTTGTCCTTCTCAAGATGTGAGATCTTTGCTGTAAATACAAACCAAGCTCACCATCTGCTCAACTTGTTGCCTCGTATATTCAAACAAAACCACCCTGAAGTCACTTTTGAATTTATTTTACCTTTGTTGCGAGGACATGCTTTGTTTTGAATCAGATGCCAGGTGTGGAGTACATATGGACATAATCTCTCATGTACTTTCAGACTGACAAATCTGCTCGTGTTTCCAAAGCACAATAGCTGGACTCGCTTGTGCATATTTTAGGCAGACACAAGCCTGAGGCACAATGTGTACTCTGTTGTGAGAGATTTCAGCAAAGAGTTCGAAGAAAACGCTTGTAATGTTCTATTCACGTCCTCTTTCTTCTCAGGAGACAGTTCCCCGCTTCACCCTCCGTTCCCAAAATCCCATCCTGGCAAATCCCTCTCAAACCCGGATCGCTGTCCAACCCGCCCTCAGTCAACCACACCAACAGCAGTAGCGACATCTCACCCGTCAGCAATGAGTCGGCCAACTCCTCCCCCGTCAAAGAGGGCAACAGCTCCCAGGCCACCCCGTCCGGCTCGCACTGCCTGAACGGAGACGTGGGCCTGGGCTCCATTCTCCCTCTGGACCTGAAAGACCAGGTCCGTATGGAAGTCCAGGGCGAGGAGGAGAAGAAAGAGGATGATGAGGACGAAGACGAGGATGACGACGTGACTCATGCGGATGAGGAAGACCACCTGAGCGTGCAGACGGAGGACAGGAGAGGAGGCGACGGACAGATAAACGAGCAGGTGGAGAAGCTGCGGCGTCCAGAGGGTGCGAGCAACGAGAGCGAGGTCGATTAGAAAGAAACTCCAGACTTCATCCGTCCATTGGCTTCTCTCGGTTTCCTTAGAGTTAATTCAAGTTCTGATATCACACCCTCGTCGCAGTAAAACGGCTACCGTGAGCATCATTTAACACTGTATGAAAGCGGCAGGTGAGGTGGATTGTGTTCCTTTCACTGCAGTTCTTTACCCCTTTGACTTTTCAACATGCAAACTTTCAACGTGCAAACCAGAGTGAAGGCACAAACCTTCTGCATGCCTGAACAAGCACAGCAACAGAAATTTCTGGAAAGACGACAAGAGAATTAGGACTTTTTCTTTTGCAATCCATACATTTCCCCTAAATGCTAGCTAGCTGTTTTGCTAGAGACTGTAGTACTCCAAAAAAGCCCGTTTAAGTTGCTTCTATGCCATTTCTTTTGTTTTGTTCAGCAGTAAACACTAGTTTACACACAGTCCCAGCATTGTTGGATCAGACCTTGTAATCTGTCGTAGTGAACCAATTCTCCTTCAGACGTGTAGTACACCGGGCTTCAGCAGTCTGTGTAACAACAAGTGATGGTGGATTTGAGATTTCTGTGGGAGAAAGAAAGAGAGAGAGAGCGAAAACGCGTATGAGAATGCAGACAATGAGGCGAAAGAGAAATGTGTCTGTCTTGGTCGTATCTCTCCGGTCTCCAGCAGGGTAGCTGATTTGGTTTATGAAGTATGTTAATAATCAAATGATCGACAAATAACAGATGTATTAGTTCATGCGGCTTGAAATGTCAAGGAGGCTAAAATCGGAAATCTAATACTGAAAGCCTGTTATATTGTATTATATTACATGACAAACCCTCCAGTCCAAATTATATAGGCCTCCTGCAGTGAATAATCTTAACATGAAACTGTGCTGGGGTTTTGTAATTAAACTGTGTAAAACAATGGATGCTTCAGTGGAGGTGCTGACAGTTGTGCTTTTCTCTTTGGGGGCTTTTCTCTCAGAAAGTCCTGAGAGGATTAAAAAAAGATGAAAAATGTTTTTTTTCCCGTGATGCAAATGGAGAGTAACGTATGAATATTTAACTAATGAAATTACTCACTCACCAGCTGATGAGAAAGAAAGCCAGAGAGATCCTGGAGTGAGAACCGTGTCAGATCCAATGTGACATTTTCACTTTTAACAAATGACCTTCAGAGTAACCGGATTACAGCGCAGCCAGGTGAATTGTGGGTCTGTGGTGGCACAATGCGAAGGCACAATGAAAGAGCTCAACTTGTCTGGCCATGTGTGTATGTCTTCTTACTTCCCAGACTAGGGTTGGCTTAACACTAACCCGCACAAGAATAGCATATATTCATATGATACAATGTCAAGAGAAACCGCGTGTTCATTTGATATGCAGTGACTTTTTTTTCTAAAACTTGGGCGTTGATTTGAAAAGCTAAAAATCCAAATGTGAAGTGAACATTAGAGGAATAGTTCAACCCCCAAAACAACAACAACTGTGATTTACTTAAACCTTTATGCGGTCTATTTTATTTTTGTGGAACACAAAAGGATACATTTCGAAAAAATTCACACTTCTCCTTACCATACATCCACAGTTCATAGCAACCATGTCTGTTAAAACTCCAAAAATGACCCCAGAAACACCATTAAAGAACCAGATCAGTCCAATTAATGAATGGTTTTTGATTAACCGGTTGATCCAGTTCACAAATCACACTACACATTTCATTCACAAAATTTGACTGATCTGGTTCTTGAGTTAAACTCAATACAGCCGGAGTGGTTCTCAAGTTAACAGTTCAAGAACTGTTCAGACAAAGTGTTTTTTTTTTTTGTCTTTTTTTGGAGCTCAACTGGTCACTATTAACTGTCATTAAATAACTTGTACACAAAAACTATTCAAAATATAACATTGTTTGTCCCATAAAAAAGGCTGTTTGTAATGACATGACATTGAAAATAACATGTTTTTTGGTGAACTATCCTTTTAAAGGAATCAGTAAAGTCTGTTTAATCTTGAAAGTAAAAAGCATTTTTTGGTGTCAGAAGTGTCATTGCAGTTACAGATGAGTTAGCTTTTTAAGTGAGAGGAAGGAAGGAAGGAAGGAAGACCATCGGCTTCAGAATGAGACAGAGCTTTAGTGTGAGAGTGTGAGAGTATCAGTTTTGCTTAAAACCACATTCAGGAGTTCCTGCAACTGGCAGGTTGTTTCTAGTAGCGTGGCGGCAGAGGCCTTTAAACAACATAGTATGCTAATTTTAGCTAATCATTGTAAAGCCGCTGCAAGGGCTACTGAATTAAACATGATATAAGCCACATATTCAGTGCCTATATCTATTTTAATATTGCATTCTCATCTCCAACTGTTTTTATGACAGTTTTGTTAAGAATCTACATCCCGCTGCTCAGTTTCAGCAACTCAGTTTAGGGATTTAAGCATTCGTTCTTATTTACGTGAGCTGTGTGTGTGTGTGTGTGTGTGTGTGTGTGTGTGTGCACGCTGGATCAGTTTTATAAGAAAGCTTACGTCAAAGGTGTGTAACAGTTTGTACGAACTGCACATTGTTGCTGTATGTGGCTCTGTTGATGTTGTTGTTGACACCCTGCCGATATTTGTCTCAGAGAAATTCTGGTATGAAAAGATGAATGTACATAATTGTAATAAATTTGATTTAACACAAATGTCCTTGTTTATTTTCTGTTGATTTTTTATTTGATCAGGAATAAATTTAACTTTGGTTGCATGGTTTTATTGTAACAAAAATGTGTCCAGATATAAGAAAGGAGGCATAGTATTAATCAATTATTCATTGATGTAAATTATTCATATATATAATACATGCATTTATTTTCTGTTCCAAAATAGGCAAAAAATTCAATTATGCAGTTCAGTTTACACACGTACAAATAATTATTAAATGTAAATTATTTACTTTTTTTTTTAATAATTTGCACATTACATGTGATGGTCACCAGCCTAAAAGAAAATGTGGGTAAAGTCTGCATAGCTATGTATTGGATCTTACTCTAAATTTCACATTAGATCAGCATTCTTCTTGGCATTTTCAGTGGACTCTATTAAGTGAATTTCAGTCGATAAACCTTGATCCTAAAGCAGCACTGTTTAAAAAATGTAAAAAAGGCCCCATTCCACTGTAGTAAGCTTTACAAATATTCCAGTGCATTATCAAGTTTATGAATTTAATTTGTCTGTCAAGGTCTAAATGATCAATAGCCTTGCACATATTGATGTGGTGTATAAACTTCTCAAAGGTTCGATACCGCATCCCTTTGTAATCCATTAACCTCTCCCCGGAGTTCAGGCCAGGCTCAGATTTATAGGGGCTGCTGTAATAAATGCACTTGTACATCATTTAGTGTCTTATGGGACAAGCAGTGCGATCCTGCCCAGAAAGCCTCTTCCATTCCAAACTCCAACTCTTTGGAGTGGTACTGTAGGTGAGGCTCACCGGTCATTTTGGCCCAACGTGACTCATAGTAACAGGTTAAGATGCTGGAAAGCTGGAGCAGGGAACACAAGGAGGCTGCAGTCTTTATGTCCTTTCAGAGCGATGGAAAGAAAGGTTTTTTTTACAGACACTGAAAGTGTCTGTCGTGCTTTTGCAGACTCGGGAGCTTCAACCTCATCAGTCGGCTTTACTAAACGGAGTGCGCTCAATAGGCTGCTGCTGTATTGATGTGTGCTGAACTCCATTGTTCTCCTGAACTGAGCACTCAGCAGGTTAGAGGGCTGAGTGTCTCCTTGGATCAATGCAAGGGTTGTTAGCCCTTCCTGCCCCAGGAGGTTCACTGAACACAGCCTGCGCTTGCAGCCCGGGGTGCTCATGGAGGAATTGCAATAGGTGACGCCACATCACCTCAAGTCCCAATCTGGATTGTCCTTTGCCATCCGTAGCTTACAGAGCCATTTGGGGGAAAAAACCTGCAGAGATCAAGCAACCACTTCTGTGAAATGTAAAATTATGCATTTCAAAAAAGTGCTTTATGATTATTAGTGAAACTAAATTATTAATAAATTAGTTTTATAATAACACTATATACAGGGGTTTACAACTGAAAATTTATTAGAATTATATAAATTTTAAAGGTGACATATCATGAAAATCTGACTTTTTCAATATTTAAGTGCTATAAACGGGTCCCTGGTGCATCTACCAACCCAGGAAACGTGAAAAAGCCTTTCTCTGCAAGCTTGTGAAAAAAACGAGCGTGTTAGATTTCGCTCCCCCTGTGACATAGAAAGGGGATGTTATTATAATATTACCATCCCTTAATCTGCAAGTTTCCACCCACGGTGCCACCATTGTGTTTTCACAAGCGACAACGGTGTACCAGTTCTAATGCCATGGCGAAAGCAGTGCAGAGCAGTGGATTTATTGATTTATTTACGCTGTTGCCACACAGATCTAATATAAACATGAGATTTCTTTCCCAGCTGTTTACCTTCACAGACATAACCCACTGTTTTTGTAACTTATGTGTTTTTGACATAAACTTGTGTGTATTTGACCGTTTAAGACATGAAAGAGAACTTTGTTTAGTACTCGCATGCCATGTGATAATAATCGCGATTATTCACATCCGAAATAAAAGTTTTTGTTTACATAATATATGTGTGTGTACTTTGTATATTTATTGTGTACATATAAATACACACACATGCATGTATATATTTAAAAAAAAAGTTACATTTATACATGTAAAATATTTATATATAATATCAATTATATGAATATAAATATATACATGGAAATATTTTCAAAATATGTGTGTGTGTATTTATATATACATGATAAATATACACAGTATACAAACTTATATTATGTAAACAAAACTTTTATTTTGGATGTGATTAATCGCGATTAATCGTTTGACAGCACTAATCAGAAGTTTAAACTAATATGGTTTAAAATGCATGATTTCAGCGCAATAGACATGATAATCAAAATCAAACACGTTTTTAGCAGAGTCTGTCTATCTATATACAGTATATATACATGATAAATAAATATATTTGGATTTACTTCTATATATTCAGACTTATAACTATATATTCTGATTTACTTCTATATACTTACAATTTACATTTATATATTCAGAGTTATAACTATATATTCATATATTCAGACTTATAACTATATCCTCCTGAGTCCTGACTACCAGGAAAAAAGTGTTTTGTGAATTTAGTATTTTGTCATGTCATTACATTGTTTAGAGCATAAGAAAATATTTGAAAAATAACATTTTTGAACAATGATATTTTATTAATATGTTATGCCATGTCCTCTGTAGAGGACATCGGGACTTTAAAAAGTCCTGTTTTTAAAAAAATAAAATAAAAAGAAATGAATAGACATGAAAAGGCAAAAACAGTGGGAATGGCATAAACGAGTTTTTCCATTATATACAATGTATCTATAAACTGTATCTAATTAGCATATTCATGTGTTTTTGGGGCATAGAATGACAAAGAATGAACAAATGTGCAATAATGGGAGTAATAATTAGCCAGATTTTGTGTATATAATATCTAATATTTAATATTATTATTGAGTATTATTGAATGTTGATATATAATTTTTTCTCTATTCATTTGTTGTGTCTCCCAAAATGTGGAATAAACATGCTTTAAGTCCTGGTGTCCTCTACAGTCATGGCCAAAAGTTTTGGCAGTGACATAAATTTGTTTTGCAAAGTTTGCTGCTTAAGCTGTTGTGGTGTTCATTCACATTGTTTCTAGATTATTGTGAAGAGTGATCCGATGCATTTTAAATAATTGCTAAAAGCTTAATTGGCCAAAAAATGAACTTTTCACAAAAAAAAACAAATTTCACTGTTTTTTTTATCCTGACACAAAATGACCAACTAACATTAACTAATCATATCAGCGGAAAGTGTGAATGAGTACTAGTCAGGTGAAATCACTAATTAGATTGTAAGAGCAGACTGATTGCCATAAAAGGAGGGAAGAAGCGCTTCCAATCATTGTGTTCTTGTTAGCAATGATTACCTCCAAAGAAACACGTGCAGCCATCATCGCTTTGCATCAAAATGGCCTCACATGCAAGGAAACTGCTACAACGAATATTGCACCTGAAAGAACCATTTACCGGATCATCAAGAACTTCAAGAAGAGAGGTTCGACTGCAGTGAAGAAGTCTTCAGGACGTCCCAGAGTGTCCAGCAAGCACCAGGACCATCTCCTCCTGAGGAGTCAGCTATGAAATCTTGTCACCAGCAGTGCAGAGCTTGTTCAGGAATGGCAGCAGGTTGGTATGAGAGCATCTGCATGCACAGTGAGGCCAAGACTTTTGGACAA